TTATTTAATCAAACGGGTCTAAATAAAAAATTACTTCCAAATTATAATTTCGATTGATAATTTATTGATTAATCATTGATCCACATATTAACGTTAAGTAGAAATTAAGTTTATTAAATTCCATTAGTTTCCATGTCGATTAATAATCTATAAAAATTTGATTTTAACGTACGAAGAATAAAGCTTAAATTTTCTACTTCCTAATCCGCGTTAAGCCTTGTGATTAGCTGTACAACGAAACATCCGTATGATAAACGAATGTTCGGATATTCGGATGTTCACTGAACATCCAGATATGTCATTCATCGGATCAGACCTCTAATTCAATGACCGAAATTCAGATATTACAGCTATTACCGTTATCAAATCTTGGTACAATTGAAAAAGTTGCTGGTGACCGAATCGATAAGTTACCAAGTTGGAATCTTCGGCCGACATTAGAAACTTAACAATTCATCGAAAATTTTCGTTGTCCGAATCAACGAATTCGGATTATTATTTTTGATCAGATCAATCTCTAGTCGGTATAGAATGTTTGTCTTCTGCAAAATAACCAAGTAACCTATCACTATGCTCAATTTGGATAGTAAATTGGTTTTGACCGACTACACTTATGCAAGAAATTTGAATTCTAACGGGTTTCAATATGAGAAATTTAATGGTACAAAAATTCGAATATGTTCACTGGACACGAGAAATATTCGTCTGAATAGGGTAGTAAGAAGCTTAAATTATTGTGATAAATTGGATATAAAGATATAGATATCAATTTTTCTCATCCCTATGTGAAAGGAATTGAACGTACAGTACGTACGTAGGTCGCAAGATATCAAAATACCTTTCTTTACATCATATAGTTCAACTCATTCTTGATATGTGAAAAAAATCTTGATATAGAGAAATTAAGCTTAAATTCTCACTATAGTAAATTTACATAAATGATTTATCTATATACGTATAAAAAGTATTCTATCTCGGCTAACTTTTTATAAATACAGTGTTTTTCCAAACATGACGTACTTAGTTCATTGATAATTTATACATGCGTATATATGGAAATGGAATACTCTAGAACCAAAGGGTTGAAATTGAAAATAGAAACTATGCAGTAACGTTTGATCGACTCGATCCAATTTACACAAAGTTTGTAATACACATGCATGTATGGAGATGTGCGACGTTAATGTAAATGTAATATAAGTAATTTAAATACTTTTCGACGTACAGTACGTTCGCACCAACATTTACTTAGAACTATTAAAAAAAAAAATTTTTTTAAAAAAAATAAAAAAATAAAAAAAATGGCAACTGTGGAGTTGACAAAAAAAAGTCGGACAAAGGCCAAACGAGTACGAAATGATACTATTTAGATGATTTTACAGATTGTTAAATATGATGATAACCTTTTTATTGTATTGGTCTTTTTTTGTTATGTGTAGAGATCTATGCCTGCAAATTTAGGTCATCGCACAAATCTTTTAAATGAGGAAGAACAAGCTAACTCTAATACTTCTATGCAAATACCAACAATTGAAGAAAATGATCATCATATTCTTGATTTGTTATTAAACGAAAGTTTCAGCGAGGTTGAATTGGGTTTAGATCAACCTTTAACTAAATATACCTCCGAAGAGAAAAATTCAAGTAGCAATAATAATGATATCGAAACTATTGATCAGTCAAGAGAAATAATCGATGATTTGCAAGACCTGGAAGAATCTTTAGTCTCAAATGAAAAAGAAGAAATAAATAATGTGTTGATATCACAGGTAAATAATTTACCCCCCTCAGTTTCAATGTTTGGATGCTTTTTTTTTTTTTTTTATTATTATAATAAATTACTCAGTTACCATTGATTTAAAATTAATCTACAGGATGTCATTGAGTCTCTAACTAGTGTAAAGCATGTTGCACTCATAGCGCTAGACAGTCTTCTACGTCAAATTCTTGCGGATCACAATTCTCATATTATGTCATCTGAAATAAGGTCAACATACGCAAGGACGGATGCTTTGAGACAACGCTCTTTCTCTTTTAGTCATTCACCATCACAAAATGCCAATCCTGAATTAGAGAACCTACCTCGAGAAGAGAGAAATACCGTTTAATTTTGCAACTTCATGTTGTCGTATTTGACGAGGACTAAGTTCAACACGTTGATCTACAAAACTTCTTTCTGCTGCTTTATTTATTTGGTCAACAAGCCGATTTAGCGTTTGATATTTTGTAATTGACGAAGAATCGGCGCGCTGTTCCTCAAGACGTCCACGAGATAATTTTTGAATGACATTTGATAAAGTAGCAGCGGTTAACCTTTTCTTTTGACGTGGACTAAGTTCTACACGTTGATTATTAAGTTGAGGCGCCACACAATAAACACGATCGATTGCAGAAATTACATTATCCAAATCTAATTTTGTTTTTTCATTGTCTTTTTTTAAATTTAAATTTCTAACAACTGATGGATATTTTGGTGGATCAATGACCGCTTCATTGTCACCTTCAGTAAGGTTATGCGAATATTCAGGAGGTGGATCGTTATTGGATCGTTCACGGCATAAACCAGCAACAATTTCCATTAATCGATCAATCTCATTCTTGATATGTGAAAAAAATCTTGATATAGAGAAATTAAGCTTAAATTCTC